CAGGTTTGCTCGAATCAATGCTGGCGGACAGCCTATTGTTACGTGCGTAGCAAGATTGCCGTCGGTTGCTGTGGGGCTATGTTGTCAGCAGAGAGCAGTGCAGATAAAAACAAATCTATCGTACTACATAACGGGCCCCAAACACATCCTCCTCACCCCATACTCCTTCAACGAGCCACATTGGCCAGCGTGGTGTGGCGTGCCACTTGCATTAAATGCGCAAAAAGAGTTCCAGCCCGTGGGTGTGTCTGGAACCTTCCTCTTTATCCTCACAACGCGTCGTCATAACACCAGGGGAACTACATCGTTCAGCCACCACAAATTCCCCTTCTTATCCCGACTTCTATTCTCTTCCCCATACTTTCTGGAACTTTCCACGACTCTAACACCAAACCCAACCCGCCCCCCCGATTTCTGCTATGAAGGCCCCCCAACCGACCCCTCATTTCCATTTCATCCATAAATTCGCCACCACCCGACACAGACAATTAGTAAGATTTGCCACGTGAACAAAGCATGCCAATGTGTTACGAGTTTCAGCACACCGCTTGTGTGTTGGAGAGTAAGTCCACATTTACCATTCGAGTACTGTGAGGTTTCACCGGTAATTACAACCAGATTCATCAGGCGACAGCCAGAGTTGTGGAGAAATCCTCCTGTTTCGGTCTTAAATAGAGGCGGTAAATGTGACGTTTTCCCTTGGTTGACGGATGTACGAGTAGCATATACTGTGCATTGGCTGTATCGGTTAAACACGTAGGCTTTCGCGACCAATGCTATTCATAATAAAGGTTTTGTATTAGATCGCGTACGGCTGGTGGCAGGTTTAACGACACATTATATATTAACGCGATCTAACTCAAAAACCCCTATTATGGATAATATTGGTAGCTCAAGGCTACTACTACTACGACGTGTTAAACATTTCCATTTAAGTTTTCCCCCAACGTCCAATCTGATGTCGATGGCTTCTCCACCTTCAAATCCGATTGGGCGTTGACCCCCCCCCCCCCTCTCTACGTCGACTCTTCCCCCGCCTCTCCCTTTCTGTGACAGCTCCTCGCTAATTAGAGTCGAGCGCGCTTATTGGAACTCACGAAGGAGTCGTTAGAACCCGGTGAGTTATTTTCATGATGCGGGGAGCGGTGGCGCATCGGGTTAGCGCGCTGCACTGCGCTCCGAATCCGGCGAGCCGAGTTCGATTCCTGCTCCCGGAGCAACACCAGTGACGAATATCTGAAACGGTCCTGGGCCTCCCCATAGGTCAACTCGGACTCAAAATGAGTACCTGGTGCGGTGTGTAAACATCACCCACTGGGGAGACAAAGGCGGTTGGGCGTGGTGCTGGTCACCCTACCTCCTCGTGTGCTGTGCCGGCCTCCATAGGTGCCACTCACTAACAGCACTTGCCCCAACAGTCAGGCTTTTGTCTTTAGTATTTTATTATGAATTAATTTCCTAATAGGGCTTGCTTCCCGACCATCCCTTACAAATATAATAACATTAGCTTAGTAGAGCTAAGTACCGTATTTAAATATGTCGTAAATACAGTTGTTCTACAGTTATACAGATTTAATCATCTTCCTTTGGGCGGCAGATTCGGCTAAGATGGGTGGGGGACGCAAAATTATTACGTGGTAAATGTGTTGGTGAAACTGCATTGGCAGCGGTGCACAGGCACCAATAACAAACTCAACACAACTTGTCAAAAACACAGCCATAAAATAATAAACGAGTGCAACATTACGGGCAATCGTTCTGCTTCACGGCACAAAACATATGTGCTATGATTGTGGAAATGTAGTCAACCCAAAAATAAGATAAATTCAACACGTTAATTCAAATAAAACACCCTTCAAAACCCGGAGATGAAAATACCACGGTTTGAAATCTTTGCATACTCATATAATTGTTTAAATGTGAAATAAAACAGCGAATACATCAACAAAAGAGCACATAAGACTGGAAAATTATGCAGTAATATTAAAACGACAAGATTAATGAGCCAAAGGTAGGGAGAGCAAATACACAATTCACTCATTAGCACCTCAAAATACACATTGGCAAAATATGTAGGAACATCTTGACCAGCCTCTGGAAAATCAGCTGACGTGAGACAAGCAGGAACACATCTCAAAGTAGAAAGAACCAAAGAGTAGATAATATGTGTAATGTATGGTGTGAAATTACCAGACAGAGCTAAATGATCAATTGCCATGCATGATAGTATCAGCCATGTATGGCCACGGTGTCGATTTGTCAACTACTTCGCCTGGTATGCAGGAGCACGTGGGTTCGATCCCTGCCTGAATATTTTGAGTTTCTTTATGTTCTCCCAATGGTCGTGCGGATCTTTCTCTGGGTCCCTCCGGTTTTTCCCTCCGCATTTAGAAGCCATGCGTTTAGAGTATTTGGCTGCGATACATTGCCACGTGATGATAAAGCACTTCGTGGAGCTATCATCCGTGGACAGGTCGCTTCTGAAAAGAGCTGTATAGCTCAGTGGGCCTTACCTGATTAAAATAAACATTATACTCTTGGGTGTTTCGATCAAGTAACGTAAAGTAATCGTCTTGCAATCGTCTTGTGTTGCGATCGAAACGTCGTGGTATATTATTTTTTATTTACGCGACTTGACCAAAAGAACCAAGAGTTTGAATTCCTGCAGTCACGAAAGCTTTCAATCAAGATAAATATAGTTAATTGATATAAATCTGCATTATCAACCATTGTTTCATTTGAATACGTCACCGCCTATTTTTCTACACTAGTGATTATTTCAACTCGTTCAGCACACAACTTAATGAAGAAACGTGTACAGGAAAGACATCATGTGCTGGTTGTCAGGTCGTGGTGATATCATGCCAAATAACATGCGGTATAACCCAAAACACACACACTGGAAAGCTACACAAGAGTATTGGTTGGATTTTCACAAAGTTATCTGAATTGTGCATGCTGCACTTTTAAGTGCTTGTTTAGAATACATTTACAATTTAGTTTTACACAGCTCCTAACCGCCAGGAACTTTATGCGAGCACGGTGGCACAAGAACTTTGAAAGCCAATGCACGTGTAGAGGGGGTCATCTGTAGTGTACAAAAATGTGAAATAAAGTGAAAATGGCAAGGGAAATCAGTACTGAGAGGCAAATATTTTTGAAGGCAGAACATATACACCCGAATGTTTACTTGATCAACATAAAGATGCACATACAATCAGGCATTTACAATGGGGGGAACATTAGTCATGAGTCTTACCATTACTGATTTACTAAAAAGTTATATTGTTACACACGGGCATCATATGCTAAATAACGAAAGGTCAGGGGCCGTCCATAAATGACGTCACGCACCTAGTGGGGGGGGAGGGGAGTCAGACATTTGTGACGAGGGGGGGAGGGGGGTTTGAGAAATGTCACGTCACATCAAAATGCGCAACTTTAACTAAATATTAATTAAATCGAATTGTTATAACAGCATAAATTTTGATTAATTTTTATTATTCACTATTTTATTATTTAAATTTACTAAGGTCACCTTTTATTTATTCTATGAAGGAGCATTTTGCTTCTCCATGGGAGAATGGAGAAGCATACATTTTGTAAATGTTTTGAATGATTGTTATTAAACATTTTTATTGTAATGATTCTACCATAGCTTTGCGTTCGTTCTACTACAAAGTTTCAAGTATTTTTAATAGTTAAAATTACTTTTAATATTTTATAACTATAAGAGAATTTCAATATAATATTCTGAAATCTGCAGTTTTAGTTATACGTTGAATATCTTCAAGTGAATTGTATGTTAAATTTCTGCTTCCCAGCGCCTCCTTTTTAATGTGTTTTTTCCTACAACATCAGAGTGCAGCGCCACATTAAATACGCACTACAATGATAATAGTTTAAAGTGATTTGAAGCATGTTTTATTTTCAAAATGTAAATATGTTTTTGAGGGGGGGGCAGAGCTTTGAGACGACATATTTGAAGGGGGTCTGACTTTTTGTGACGCCGTGTGACGAGGGGGGGAGGGGGGGTCAAAAATCGTCAAAAATCGCGTGACGTCATTTATGGACGTCCCCTCATTCAATAACCATTTTTAATCACAACTTTGCTGGATAAATCGCACATGTCAATCCACTGCTGAACAAGGGTATCATCAGGCAGTAGCCAGATTTGTGGAGATCTAACCTGAAACAAAACCCCTATTATCGATATTGGTCCCGAAAGCCTCCGTGTGAAACCATGTTTTTGTGTCACATGGATTTTCCCGTTTAGCCGGTTGCCCGGCTATTTTGCAAGGGAGAGATCCGTGTGGCGCGTGACCACATCACAATTGCAGATAACCTGTACAGGTTCCTGAAGAAATATTGCACAACATGCAAACGAGGTACAGTATCGAACGGTCGTCAAAGAAACACAGGCGAATAATAGTGGCAATAAAACACCAGTGCATATGGCATTACAGTACTATAATAATTCTAAGCGCACGCTTTCCGCATATTCACGACGCCCCTTGTTAGCTCATGCGTTATCTCGGCATCCCCTTGCAAGTAAGATTGGGGAATTCTCGTGGATATGGAACCGGTTGCAATGGCACGGCACAACGGGAGAGGAGGAGGAGAGGGGGGTGAGAGGGGGGGGGGGCAGTAGCGTTTTAACGCACGCGGCTCCCTCGATAGGATCCCATGATAGGATCGAACCATAACGCGAATATTGCTGTGTGAGCCAGAGAGAGAGAGGCGGGCAGGAGGGAGGGGAAGAGAGGCAGGAGGGAGGATACGGGAGATCGCAGAAAGAGAGAGACACACGCACACAGAGTATCGACATACTCGGAGGGAGAAAGAGAGAATCAGACGCTGAGAAACGCAACGAACGGAAACACGGGGAGGGGAATTTAATAGGGCCTTGGACCGAGAGAGGGAGGAGAGAGAGTGGATAGGGACTGGACCGAGACAGGGAGGAGAGAGGGTGGGGAAACTGAGAGAGGGAGGAAGAGAGAAGGGCGTGGGGAAGAGTGCGCAGAGAGAGAAAGACACACACACACGAACACAAAGAGAGGGGAGGGGAAAACTGGACCCGAGCTAGGAGGAGGAGGAGGGGTAGAGAGAGAGCGAGCGAGAGAGCGAGAGGCAGTCGCTTGGAAGAGGAGCGCTCAAACGCGCACTGCACAGCGCAGCTGTCCATCGACATCTCCACGCAATCGCTCTCGTCCACGCCTGCAGGTAGGCGGCATGTGTGTGTGTGTGTATCACGCACGCACGCACGCGCGTATTTGTACGTACGCGATGTGACACGGATGTGACACGTGTCGTGTGCCTATGTGTGCAGTTGCGTTACCGTACGTACCGCATGTGCATGCGCTACTTGCACACGCATGCAGTCGCTGTACTGTATATGGGCGTGTGTAGACTTGGGGTTAATCTGGGACTGCGTGAGCATCTGCCCGTGTTTTTTGCGCGTGTACACGTGTGTGTGTGTAGCTGCACATGTGTGTAGCTGTGTGTATTTGGCCAAACACCGCATTGTGATGGTGTGTGCGTGGTGTGTGTGTGGTGTGTGTGTGGTGTGGTGCTAACCACACTACAACCACCGCCTCCTGCCCAGTGCTCTGTGCCTGGCGTTCATAGGTGATGGCTCACAGCAGCATCAGTAAGCACGTGTCACCCTATTGTGTCAAGCACGTGTCATCCTGTTGTGTCAAGCTATGGGGAGCGGTGGTGCAGCGGTTCGCGCGCTGCGCTACGGACCCGGGCACCCGAGTTCGATCCTACGCTCACGGCCAACACCCAGTGTGACGATTATCGGTGCTCGACCTCCCACTAGGTCGACTCGGCCTCAAACGAGTACCTTGTTCGATGTGTAAAAACATCGACACCGTGGAGACAAATGGATGTGTAACACAGCGCACTCCACACATGCCGTGAGTGTGTGTTGATGTGTAACACAGCGCACTCCACACATGCCATGTGTGTGTGTGTGTGTTGATGTGTAACACAGCGCACTCCACACATGCCGTGTGTGTGTGTGTTGATGTGTAACACAGCGCACTCCACACATGCCGTGAGTGCTACAGACGTGGGCACTGCACACACTGCACACACACTACACACACCACACACACACTACACACCACACACACACCACACACACACACACACACTACACACACTACATACTGTGTGTGTGCAGAAACTTGCACGCACGCAGACACACACACAATGTGGGGAGCGGTGGTGTAGTGGTTAGCGCTACGCTGCGCTACGAAACCCGGCGACACGGGTTCGACTCCCGCTCACGGAGCCAACACCGGTGACGATTATCTGAACCGGTCCTGGGCCTCCCCTAGGTCGACTCAGCCTGAAATGAGTACGGTGTGTAAACACCGCACACTGGGGAGACAAAGGCGGCCGGGCGTGGTGTTGCCCCGCACCCACACGCCCCTTCGTGTCGCCTTCGTAGGTGCTGCTCGCTGACGGCACTTGTCCCCCACTTCTCGGGGGAGGGGGTGGATCTTAGTCTTTGTGCGTGCCGAGGTCGCTTTCTCTCTCCCCAGTTGATTCAAAATGTTGCAGATCCTCTGCCTCTCGTCTCTCGCCCGCGGGCAGCAGCGGCGGCGGCGTGTGTGTGTCGGTGGCTCGGGGTGGTTCGCGATCTTTCCCATCGCGGTTAATGCTCTCTCTCGTCTCTTCTCGAGCCACAATCACCACTCTTCTCTCTCTCTCTGTGTATATGTTATTTTTTTAAAGTGTTCTGCTATTAGGCGCCATTTTGCGCTTCGTGGATATGCTTTTGCCGGTGGCGTTTGCGCTGCGCGTGTGATGGTTGAGGTGGTGATGGTGGTGCTTTACCGTCATCCGCGGGTAATGGTGATGATGGTGGTGGTGGCGGTGGTGATGATGGTGGCGGTGGTGCCTTACCGTCATCCGCGGGTGATGGTGGTGGTGGTGCCTTATCGTCATCCGCGGGTAATGGTGATGATGATGGTGGTGGTGATGATGGAGATGCGTAGCGATGATGGATATGGCGGTGGTTTGGGTGATGTTCTTGGAAATGAGCGCAATTCCTCGGTATTCTAAAAAACAACAACCCACACACACCTATATATGCCGCCTTACCCGGTGTGTGTGTGTAGGAGTGCACCCATTGCTAAACGCGTGGTGGCTTTCCAGTGTTCGCGTTGAACGCGCAGTGCGCAGCGCTCTGCGCGTGAATGAATGGCATTCCGCAAACGATGTATTTGTTGAACAACAACCACCACCAGCAGCAGCAGCCTCGGGGTTTAAGGTAGCACACCCGATGGGGCTTTGTAATTTGATCAGGGCTTTGGTACGCCAGCCAACCCAACCCGCTTGCTGGATGTAGGGGACGTGAGAGTATAACTCCGTTTATCCGCAACTCCTGTTATCCGCGTAAGGTCAACGAAAACTACAATTGGCATATCACTGTCACAGTTCTATTCAAGGTATCCGCGATTACAATTTGTAGGGACTCGGCGAAAAGTCTAATTATGAGCGGTTTCGATTCTTCCATTTATCCGCCACCCCCCCGCTCACCCAACCACCGCGGATTAGTGGAGTAAGGGGCCGTCCATAAATGACGTCACGCACCTAGGAGGGGGTGGGGGTCAGACATTTGTGACGATGTGTGACGAGGGGGGGAGGGGGGTGAGAAATGTGACGTCACATCAAATTGCGCAACTTTAAATAAATATAGACAACACGTTCTACTTAATTAAATAGACTTTCTAATAAATGTTTTCTCCTACAACATCAGAGTGCAGCGGCACATTAAATACGCACTACAATGACAATAGTTTAAAGCGATTTGAAGCATGTTTTTTTTGGGGGGGGGGCAGAGCTTTGTGACGTCATATTTGAGGGGGGGGGGTCTGACTTTTTGTGACGCCGTGTGACGAGGGGGGGGGGGGGTGAAAAATCGTCCAAAATCGCGTGACGTCATTTATGGACGGCCCCTAAAATATCGCGGATAAGAGGATCTTCGATATGCCCTCCCATACATATGACCACGTTTGCAGGCGACAGCAAGTGTCTATGCACGTGGAGTGTCACGCACATGGAATATGCACCTTGTTTGTAAACGGCACCTTTAATAAGGCGTTATTATAATATTTGTTTTGCCCTAAGCAATTTGGAGCCCGTATAGTAGTATTGCGAGCTCGTGTGTGCGGCGATCACCATTCAGAAAACTGGTTGCGATTGGTTGGCATAGTGCGGCAAAACACACATTGTTGTGCTGTACTTCTATGCTCCCTGCTTTCGACAACCCGCTGAATTTCAGTCCAACAACTCGCCCACGACCCACGCGCCGTTGGCAGGCCCTCACCCAGCAGTTGATCTACAAAGTGAGCTGTAACATTAACACACACATGTGCATGTTGCGTACACGTGTATTGTATATGTATCCAAATTATTCGTGTTAGCGGTCTCCGAATGCCGAGTTGAAGCATGGCGGTGTGACGCTCGCTCTGATTTCCTTGGCCACAAAGTCAATCACTGTGCATCACAGCTGCGCCCTCCACTGTGAGTGCGGTTGCTATGAAATGTATCCTAATGGCGTTGCATTAGCCATGTGAGTGATGTGCTCACGTGTCCGCTCTGTTATTCCATGCACGGTGCATGTTGCGAGGCCGGGTGTGCAGGTAATGTGCATCAGCTCCTTAGGGGGGGGGGGCGATTAAATATTGATGCTAACCAGCGCACGAAAGGGGTTGTATATGAGGCAACGTACACCAGGGAGATGGAGCGATTGCAATACAGTTCCCCGTGCTGTGTACTTGGTGGGTCTATTTACAAAGGGTCGTGAGAGATGGCAGTGGATTGGGGAGACCCTTCATCCAGCAGTGGATTGACCATATGGCTGCTGCTGCTGCTGATGATGATGAAGGTGACAGTCATAATATTGTATGGTGTAGTAAGCACGCTGCTTAGTTTCAGTTGGAACAGACCGGAACGCCTTTCCGGGAATTATTATGGCACGCCACATCTATCTTACCTATTGTGTCCGAAAGACTGTTCATAGGATAAAATAAATATAGGGTACTATAGGATTATTATGGATAGGCTTACCTTGTACTCTAGTGGTAGTGCCTTACACCGATATTCCCTACTCCAAGCCAGCCAGCTTGATCAGCTTTCTGGAATATCGAGTGAGAAATGAATCCATGAGCATAGGCCAAAAATTGCAACGAACACGAAGAGGAGAGTGAATTGTAAACCAACAGTGAAACTACGAGATCTTGAATGTGTGTGTGTGGACTGCATGTATCATCTGACATTGTGGGTCGGTCGGTGCAAGTGTGACGGGAGTGAAGGAAATAAGGGGTGGGGATTGGGGAGAATAATGGATGAGGCTTGTCTGGCGAGCGCAGCGTGACTGATTGGCAAGAGGAGCCCGTTCGTGACCCCCCTTTGCGATCATGCACTCACGTTGGGTTCCCAGGCTGGGGGTCCGCACTGCGGCTGTGAGCTTTGGGGCGTGTGCTCCGGATTGCTCTCGCTCATTCACATACACGCATGCGTGTGCGCTCGCAACACACACACGCACGCACACTTAACAAAAGCCACAGCTCTGTGAGCAGTCGATTCATAATGCCGCGTGTTTAATCGCCGGTTGGCTCTTTTGTAGATTGAAAAACATTGGCCAAGATTGGTTTGAGGCTCGCAACTGTTGGCTTGTGCAGAGAAGCACCCTAACAGGTCTTGCACATAGCTCGGTTTTCAGGCGATCGTAAAGCCCTGTTGTTTGGGGTTCCCGCCACTGAATGCACGCTTATTTGAAAGCTTGAAGCCAGCGGACAAAATTACCACCGTGTAATCTGACTGTACACAATAGTTTACACACGCGTGTGCAAGAAACGTAAAAATAACCGGTGTGCAAACCGAAACGGGGATGCTCAGATGCGCACAGCTGATCACTTGGTGCTTTCGGCTAAATCTTTTCATACTCTCACATTATTAGTGGGTGCGATCCCAGTGGCGAGAGATGAAATGAAAAAAACCATGCACAATTCTGCAAATACAAAAGCCATCGGTGCGTGGTACGCATTCACAGTTATGAATTGCCTATTCTTACCGGCACGCTAGTGCCAGGGTACCTGCTAAATCTCATCGGCAAGGGGGACCACCCCCTCCCCCTATTCAATATTTGCCCGATAGCTGCGATATGTTTGGTCTAACGGCTGATAGCAGCGCACAACGAGAGG